AAAGAGAGAGAGCATGTGTGCACACAGACCATCTGCTTAAGGCAAGCCTCTGCTGGGGAGTAAATCACTGAATGAGGCATCAGGCAGGGAGGGTTTGAAGGATACAGAGCAAGGCTGACAGCCACTGCTCACAGGAAACTGAGAGAGGAGCTGATTGTGAGGAAGCATTTGGCTTTGAGTTCCAGTCCTCCGGAATAAGAGAAGGCCAAGGAAGATATATCTTTTGTCTCTAGTCTCCCTCCCTTAGGCTCCATGGGTTGGGGTGCAATGCTTTACAGATTCTTTAGTAACCCAGTCCATCTGGACAAGGAGAAGGGAGAAAGTCATACCTGAGACACCGTTTGCTCCGTAAGGGGGACGTCTTCACCCTAAGGCAGGAGAGACAAGCAGTTAGTGTGAGAACAAGGTAGAACCTGATTACAGTCTGGGTGTGTCTCTTCACACTGAAGCAAAGGGCGGATGCTCTAAATTTCCTAGTCCCTTCTAGGGACTAGTTACAGTCACAACTTTACTTGGCCAAAGGGACTGTGAACACAAAAGGGTCATTTCATCCATCCTCCATTTTAAGGCAGGACTTCTTAAAAGATTTATTCCATTCTGAGTAATCAGCAGGTTATCTGATCCTCAACTTGGGGGTGGGGGACCTGATTCCCGAGTCAGAGAAGACCTTCCCTGAATATCAATATCACTAGGGAAAGGATGAGGGGGAGCCAGGGGTAGTTTAATGGATCCCGCAAGGCCTGATGGGTAACGACAGCATGTTAATTTGAAGAAATAAACTGCTGCAACAGCAGCCTGGGAAGGGGAAGGGGGGAGGTGGTGGGGGGACCCTCTCTCTTGCCACATAGAGACATATGTTAGAGGAGAAGATTAAACTATGCAAATGGAGCCCACGGCAGTTAAGGGAGATTTCCCATTACCCGGCACTGTCAGCCTTCACTCTACGGAGGTCAGAGCCGGGACATTCTGTGAGTGGGGAGAATTGCTTCACTTGAGCATCTCTGTACCCCCATCGTTTGCTGGTGAGCTTTCTCTGCACCCACCAGCAGACCTGGAGCCTTCCAGGGTTAACTCACAGGCCCCTTTCTGATATCATTGCCACCAAAGAGGACTGAGGTTCAACCAAATAAGTACTTCCTGATGGAGAGAAATTACCCTCAGTTGAAAGACAAGAAAGGCACTTCTCTGCCTTGACTGAATGGATCCCTCTCCAAAGAGTTGGAATAAGCTTCTTCAAGTTCTTTCATAGTTTCAAAACCATGAAAATTAAAGTGTTTTTTTTTTTCCAACATTCATTGAATAAGTCTGTATTAGACGCCCACTTTGTGCAAGGACTGTATGAGAAGTTAGGTACCAACTTAGGGCACAATAAGTTCCTTCTGCTTTCCTTCTTTGAGACAATGAGAGAAGAAGGGAAGGAAAAGGTTACACATACGTATTTGAAAAGAAAAGAGAAAGCTGTACGTCTTTTGTGAGTTGTCACACTCAGCCACATTCAGCGGCTCTGGCTCTGCAGGGTGTTTGTAAACCAAAGGGGGACGTAGGGAAACATGTTCATGCTTACCCTTAATGCCACCCGGTGTACCACTTGCTGGGGATCGCTCTCTAGGATCACCCTAAAACAAAACAGAAAACTCATTGTTTAGTCTGCCCTAAAGGATCAAACTACAGTGGGGACAGGACCTCTGGCCACTCAGCACACTTGACTTAGGACAGGACAGTTACCCACCCTCTTACCCTAGATGCGGACAGGTGGGAAAACTCACCCTCCATCTACGATTTCATCCACAGCCAAGAAGAGCCCCTCCATGTTCTCCAGTAGTGCTCGCTTTTCTACATTTTTCCTGAGACCCCAAGAAAAGAGAAAAACAGCCTATGTGTGAAATGAATCCTAAGGTGCAGTATGTACACATGTCTTCACCAACAACACAAGGAAATAAGGTGAAGAACTTTTGAGCTCATCTATACCAAACTCCTTACTCTTGTTCACTGGGAAGGGATCTGGAATGTCAGAAAAGAGATCTGAAAAATGCAGTCCATTTCTTACTACTCAGGGGTTAATTATCCAGAGCCAGCATTTCTTTCTTACCCGCCATGATGTTGCTCATGACATTGCTCATAAACACTGTCATCAGCAAGTGGAATAAACAGAACTAAAACTCAGCCTGGAGGAGGCAGGAGTGGGAAAGGGCTGAATAAAAACCCCATTTGCACCAAAGCTCTGACAAACCGCCTAAGCCACTCTCTGCTCCCTCCGCCCTTCCAGTTCTGCTCAGGCCCTGAAAAGAAGCCTGACAAGGGGGCTGGGAACAGTCAGGGTCTGCATGTCCAACAGCCTTAGATCCGGTGGTTGGTGCATGTGGCCTGTCACATCCGTCAGCTTGACTCTTTCACTAGATTACCCGAAATGAAGTCTATTCATTCACCTGGCTGAGAAATAAATCAACCCCTTCCTGAGGAAATCTGAGCCATTCACCCTGCTGATTTTGTGGGGCTGAGGGCTCCTGCTGTTCTGCTCCGGATGGCTGTCTGTACGGGGTTCACTTGGGAGCTGCTGAGGGGATGAAGTTCAGGGCCCTGGATATTTTCAGGAAAAGTATCTTATAACTCTTCTATTGCCCATCCACATGAACAGAAGGCTAGTGAGGCGGTAGAAAGGGAGGAGAGGATAAATGGCACAATCTTCCTGTTGTATCAAAGGGAAAAACAAGGGCTAGAAGTAAAAAAATGGGTGTTGCCTCCTTTCCCAGGATACTAATGTTTCATCTGGAATATTTCCTTATGCTTTTCCTTTCCTTACTTCTAAAGTAAAGAATGAAGCCCACGTGGGCCAGACTCATAGGCTGATGGTTAAGGAAGCTGGATCCTACACCACTGACCAATTTGAATCCTAGCTCAGCAGCTTGAAAAATGTGCCAGGCATGTGCATGTGTGTCCTAAATCCCAGAGGATGGCAAAATGGAGACGGGATTGCAGCATGACCACACCCCACTGGGGGTGTTCTCTCTCTCCATACCTCTGACTCCCTGGAGCACACGAACTATACTGCAAAAGAAACAAACAAGAGTAGACAGGCAGGTGAAGATTCTGCTTCCTCTCAATATCCTTACTTAGTAGGAGAATTACGCTATAGGAAGACTATGTTCATCTAGTCCTCCTCATCAATGTAAAATTACTCTGAAATGATAAGCCTAACTTCTTTAATTTTTTAAATTAAAATAATTAATTTTTAAAGTTTGTTATAGGGCATGTGTGCTTGCCAGAGAGAGAAAAAGATCCCAGGTAGGTGGCCACACTGCAATCCCTTCTCTTTGGAATTTTGAGCACTCATGCACATGTACCAGGCATGGATCCAGCCACCTTAACCACCACACCACTGGCTCACCTAGACCAATTCTTCTAGTAAACCAATGCTCTGGAGCCTCTGCCAATCCTCTACAAATCCCTGGGTCTGAAGAACAGTTACTTTGTTTTCCAAAATGGCATCAAGAGTAGCCTGCTCACCTTAGCATCTGGCTCAATGAGTCGAAGAGGCAGTTTAGGACGGCCATAAGCATCAACTGTTAGGAGACAAAGGAGGCAGGAGGATGAGGTTCATAGTCCTAAAAGCTGCTACCTAAAAACAAAACCCTGTAATTCATTAAGCATCAAAAGACACGGGCTTTCACAAAAGACCAAAAACATAAGGTGGAAGAGAAAGTATGGTTCATCACAGAAATAAATTCTGCCTCATGATCCTACAATTTGAAGTCTCATTTAGCTATTATAGAAGTGAACATATAGGGTCAGCAGGTGGTGTGGTGGTTAAGGCGCTGGACACTCCCACATGGCCAACCACAGTTTGAGTCTCGGACCTGGTGGGTTACTTTCTCACATTCCTTCTCTCTGTGTGTCTGTCTTTCTCTAGTCAAATAAAAATGACTGAATGAATAAATAAAATAAATAATTCTTAGAAAAAAAGGAGTTAACACAGATAGGCAAGCAAGTGCTGTGTGGTTAAGATGTTGGACACCCCCACATGGCCCACCACAGTTCAAGTCCCAGACCTGGTGGCTTGCTTTCTCACTTTCTCTGTGTGTCTCTCTCTGATAAAATTAAAATGAATGAATAAAAATAAATAAATAATTCTTTTAAAAAAAAAACTTTACATAGAATTTTCCTGTCACAGTCCTTTACATGTCATTACCAACTGTGTATGTGTCACCTAATGTCATAGAGAAGCTATTAATCAGGCAGTAACTGGGGTCAAAGGAAAGTAGCAGTTAGAAGAAAGTACAGACTTTAAAGTCAGACAGAAGTACGCTTGAATCCTAGCTGGGCCATCTTCTTCTAAAAAAAAATATTTATTTATTTATCATTATTATTTTTTAAAATTTTTATTTATTCATTCACTTATTTCAATTTGACCAGAGAGAGACACAGAGAGAGAGAGAAAGGGAAAGTGAAAAAGCAAGCCACTAGGTACAGATCTCAAACCATGGTCAGCCATGTGGGAATGTCCAGTGCCTTAACCACCACACTACCCGCTGGCTCCCTATTTATTATTATTTTTAAAATTTGCTATAGGGCACATGTGCCCATCAGAGAGAGAGAGAGAGAGAAAGTGAGAAAGCAAGCCGCTAGGTCTGGGACTTAAACCATGGTCAACTATGTAGGAGTCCAGCACCTTAACCACCAGGCCACCTGGTAGCCTCTCTTCTTTTTTAAAATCTGCCACAGGGGGGACCAGCAGTTAGCGTAATGGCTATGTCGCTGGACTCCCATGTAGTCGACCGTGGTTCGCATCCCAGACCCGGTGGCTTAAAACTCACGCCAGGCATGTGTGCATGCGTGCCCAATATCCCGAGAGGAGAATGGAGGAGAAGGGATTGCGATGCGGCCATCTTCCCTGGGGGGTGATTTCTTGCTTTCTGTCTCTCTGGCGAGCGGACGCGCTCTATAGCAAAAACCTCTTCAAAAAAAAAAAAAAAAAATTGCCAGAGGGAACATGGGCTTGACAGAGAGAGACAAAGAAAGTGAGAAAGCAACCCCCATGGGGACAGTAACTTTACAATCTATTCTCCTCTACCTCTCCCTCCTTTCTGGGTGTTAAGTTGAGCCATTTTCTACAGAGTGACCCTAAGAAGGGTATTAGGTTGAACCATATGAAACTGCCACTTTTAAAAAAATTATTAATTATTATTAATTAAGAATATATGATTTCTTAATTTAAAAAGTAAATATATAGATAATAAGAAATCAATAAGAACTGTTCTCTCAGCAGATGGCATGAAGGTTAAGGAGACTGGATCCAACAAGGCTGACTACATGGTTCAAGTGGTTCTTGGATCTGACAGCTTGAAAAAGACGCCAGGCACTTGTTTGTGCATGTGTGCTCAAAATCCCGAGAATGCAGGAGAAGGGATTGTGGCATGACTTCCCCCGTTGGGGATGCTTTCTCACTCTCCCAACCCCACCCCATCTCTGTCTGTCTCCGGCAAGCACGTTAGCCCTATAGTAAAAAGAGTTGTTCTCTGGCTGGTAGGTGGTATGGTGGTTGGAGTGTTGGACTCCCACATGGCTGACCACAGTTTGAGTATCAGACCTGGTGGCTTACCGTCGTGCTTTCCCTCTCTCTCTAGTCAAATTAAAAAAAAAAAAAAAAGATAATGAATAAAATTAAATAAAATAATTCTTAAAAAAAAAAATAGGAGTTGTTCTCTTGAACTTTTAGTTTTACTTCAAATTATCCAGGGATTTATTTTTACTTATCTACTTTCCTAGAAATTGCTACCAGAGGTAAATAGCTTTTCCTGCATGTAGGAAGCAGGTTAGGACCATACCCTCAGTCTTCTCAAGTGACCCATACAGAAGGTATGGCTTCAATATGACCCAAGGTGTTGGCTAACTGGTCCAAACTCAGTCAAGTATAGACCCTTCATTGCAGAAGCAATGACCCCCACCCTATACACACATCCCTGACCATACCTCAGAAAGCCACCTTATTAAAAACCACTATCTAGGGGCCAGCAGATAGCGTAAGTGTTTATGTCACTGGACTTCCATGTAGTCAACCATGGTTCAAGTCCCAGACCTGGTGGCTTAAAATTCATGCTGAGGGGCTGTCAGATGGTGTGGCGTTTGAAGGTGCTGAACTCCCACATAGCTGACTGTGGTTCAAGTATTGGACCTGACAGCTTGCTTTCTCATTTTCCCTTTCTCTCTCTTTCCTTGTATCTCTCTGGTCACATTTAAAAAATAAACAAATAACAGTAACAGATAAAATTAAATAAATAAATAATGAATTAAAAAAAAAAAAAAAAAGACCAAAAAATCTCATGATGGGCACATGTGCATGCGTGCCTGCCCAAAGAGGAGAATGAAGGAGAAGGGATTATGGCATGGCCATACCCCCGTGGGGTGATTTCTCATTTTCTGTCTCTCTGGCAAACGCACACACCCTATAGCAAAAATCTCTCTAAAAACAAAACAGGGGCCAGCAGGTGGTGTGGTGGTTAAGGTGTTGGACTTCCATATGGCTGAGCAAGGTTCAAATCTCGGACCTGGCAGCTTACTCTCTCATTTTCTCTCTATCAAATTAAAAAAATAACAAATAAACTCCACTACCTAGGGAAGGATACTAAAACATATGCGGTGTTTCCTACCTGGAGATAGAAGATAGATCTGAGGAACTTCCTTTCCAGGCTGATTTGTTTGCTAGGCCATGTTTGTGAGGCTGGTGCAGATCTCCGGCAATTTCGTTAGCCCAGTCAGAAGCCAGAGAGACACGGCTCTCCTAAGGCCCAAAACTAGTGGCTGTGTCCTGCCTGTGGTTTAGGAAGTGGAACCAGAGATACCAAGAGGGGTGGGGAGTCTCACCTCATTTTCATAGGAGCTGCCAATCACATAGAAATAGAGATCTATACTGCTTTTGTATACCACTGTCAGGCCTTCCAAGAGGGCAATCTCACCTGCGGAAAAAAACACAGAAACAGACGGCCTGGGATGAGAAAGCAGGGAGGAGGAGTAACTATGAACTGGTATCTGGTTATTTGGGACTGAGGTAAGGTGGGCTGTAGTGACCTCTAAAGACTGAAGTTGGTCTGCTCTTTTTGGGTGGTAGCAAAAGAAGGGAAGTACAAACTTGGGGGAGTATAAATGTATCTTCCCCTCTAACCAACCCCTTGCCACTACACTTATTTCCCTCCTTGTATAGATGCAGGATACTAGTCGATCCTTCGGAGGTGAAAATGCAGAGCGGTCACCTTTACAGACTTCCATTTACCTGCCCTAATGGATGCGGTACAATAAGCAGAGCTGCAGTTAAATTTGTCAAGTGAGGCTCATAAATCCAGGGACTAGACAGGTAGCTAACAGCCAACCTTCCAGCACGGTATTCCCGCGTGAGGTACACTCACCTCCCCATTACATTTCTGAAGAGTTTATTATATGAGGGGAGGAGGGTAAAAAGAGAAAGAAAGGAGGCAGAGTCATTTTATCCTTTCTCTGCAGTCCTGCTGCCACCCCCTTCCCACCATGGGTCCCTCCAACACAGGGGATAGTGGAAGGAAATGACCTACTGTCAGTCCGATGAGTTTTGTTGAAAATGTTCTTTTCAAAGGCCTTTTGCTCCTTGACACTGGGGTAGGTGTCGTCATAGTACTATGCAGAAGAAAAGAAGACAGGGTTGGGTCATTAGGGCCAGGAGCCCAGAGTGATTAGTAACTCTGTTTTGCCCTGGGATCTTGGATTTCTCTCCGTGAAAGCGTGGGGTGAGGGAGAAATACTGACATGGACAAGGAAGAACTACACAGAAAAGGAATGGGCAATGAGTAGTCAAGATAAAAGAAAGAAAGAACCCTGCTGGAAGCGATCCCACCTCACCTCTAAGCCTGCCTGAGACCAGAGGCCTGCCAGTCCTATGATGAGGCTCTGTTCCTCTAAGAGAGCTCTCAGGACCGTCAAGTGTTTCCTAGAGCTACCCAATGGCAGGGAGCTGTGCCAGAGAACACAAAACATTCTGGAAGCACTTCCTTCAGACCCTCTCTTCGAAGCTGAGGAAGGGGAAAGGCTGCAAAAACTTCTCCCGAAGAAAGGCGAACGTTGTCCTATGGTCTCTTGTACCTTAGTTTTCTTTTCTTCAAGCTGAAAGAAGCAGGAGGCAATCTAGCACATCGCTGAGCCCACTCCCTAGCTCTCCCTGGCAAGGGGCGGAGATGCAGGCTGCTAAATCGCTCTGCTCTTTAGGGGCTAATCCGTCGCAGTCAGCTGAAGACCTATGACAGGTCTGGCATTTAGTAACTGGATAACTGTTTCAAAAGGTGTCCTGCATAGTTACATCCAATTACAGGGAGGAACAGCTGGTGAATTCTAAACTAATCTCTACCTGCTGATTGATTTATGCTATGCTCGCCCGGAGTTAATACACCAGGGAGAAAAGAAATTTCTACAGGAGGGGGAGAATATGGAGGGAGAACAGAGGGGTGTCCTTGCGCCTCTCTCAATAGATCCAAAGTTAGAAACTTCACACTGGAGAAGTCAGGAATAACAGGCTTAGTAATATCTACAGACCTGGGAATAGAACTCTGGGGCTACAAGAGAATTCTTTGGAAAAATCTAGGTAGGATGACCAAACAGCAGGGAAGGAAACAGGAGTGATGGGCATAGGCAGGCTACTTCCAACATCTGGAGACTGCCTTGTTCAGGAACCAAGGCTCCAAAGCTTTTCCCTGCTCTGATGCTGATAATGAAGGAGAGCAAAGTTTCATGACAACAAGGAGGGAAGCAGTGCAACTAACGGACAAAAGGAAATTTAGGTTTTATCTGGAACAGCCAAGGTAAGATGAAAGAATTCTCAATTACACTATGGAGGACTGTCAATTAACATGATCAGTCCTGACATTCTAATCTCAGAATTACTCCCTGTTCTCTTCCTTTCTTTTTATTAAGAATTTTTTTTTTTTGAGAGGTTTTCGCTATAGGGCGCGTGTGCTCGCCAGACAGAGAGAAAGACATAGAGACAGAAAGTGAGAAATCACCCCCCAGGGGGGATGGTCACGCCACAATCCTTTCTCCTCCATTCTCCTCTCAGGATCTTGGGCACGCACATACACACGCCCGGCTTGAGTTTTAAGCCACTGGGTCCAGGACGCGAACCGCGGTTGACTACGGGGGAGCCCAGCGCCAGCCATTACGCAAACTGCTGATTCCCAAGAATTATTAATCTAACTTTTTATTTATTTATTCGTTTATTTTAATTTGACCAGAGAGAGACAGAGAGGGAGAGAAAGTGAGAAAGTAAGCCACTAGGTCCAGGACTTGAACCGTGGTCAGCCACATGGGAGTGTCCAGCCCTTAGCCACCGCACCACCTGCGGGTCCCCCCATTCTACTCCTAATTTGAAAGGAAATCTCACCTTGGCAAACAGTCGATCTCCATCATTGTCTAGAATCAGGATGGCTTTGACAGTATACAGGGAGGGTTCCTAAAGAGATACAAACACACCTTCAGTCCTGCAGGCTCCCACCACCACTAGCAAACCAAATACCTTCCCTTCCTCCCAACTGGGCTGCAAGGGGATACAGAAGTGTCTATGTCCCCTACCCCAACACAGTTAGAGTTTTACACTTTCCATTGAGAACAACCAAGCGGTGAGTGAACTAAATTAAGGGAGGAAGAATTTCAACACAGTACTACAAAGCAGCACCAGAGAAACAGTGAGTCAGAGAAACTGACTCACAAGAGGTTTACTCAAGTTAGGTCATGCTGTTATTTCCAAGTATTATGCTACAGTTATTTTCCAAATTACCCTCCCATGCACAGGTGGATATGGAAAGTGACCAGACTAATTAATAGGCACTGCACGAGGCCTATTTGAAATAGGCCTGAATGCCTGAGGATACCTGGAAGTCTCTGCAATTCCAATGCAGTAGCAATGCAGAGGCATAAAGCAAGCCTTCCCTTAACCACCCACACACCAAGCAGAGGAAAATGAATGTTTGCACACACAGAGACCCATACACATAAGCACAACAGTTCTGAATGCAGCCCAGTGACACAACCATCTTCTCGAAACTCTGTGATCTCCATCTCTCCACTACACCCTAACCACTACCACTTGACTTGCTAGGACAAATACCATCCTGAATTTTGGAGGAGTTAAGAAGCAATGAGAAGATCTACCCAAGAAATATTCTGGGGCCTGGTGATAGTGAGCAAGAGGGACTTTAAAGAATTATTTGATTGTATTTAGTATTATTAATTTTTAATTTACTATAGGGCACATGCACTCACCAGAGACAGAGAGAGAACGTGAGAAGTAAGCCACCAGGTCTGGGACTGAAACTGCGACCAGCCATGTGGAAGTCCAGTGCCTTAAGCATCATGCTACCTGCTAGCCCCCACCAAGATATCAAACAGGATATTGATTCTCCTAAAGGAATCACAGCCTCAGCCCTAATGGTTACATTCAAATGACTCCCTTCACTTTGCAAAAGCTGCAATGGCCTGGTATTCTCTCTCCTGTACCCCTGCAAATTCCAGGCAACCATTAACTAACTATAAGAGGAAAAAGGGGAACAGAAGAGAGAGAGACACTGTGTGTGTGTGTGTGTGTGTGTGTGTGTGTATGTATATATATATATGGAAGAACACGTTTGCAGAGCTAGCTGGTGGTGTGGTGGTTAAGGCAGCTGGATCCCACATGGCCGACTGCATGGTTTGAATCTGGGACCTGGCAGCTTAAAAAACACTGGACGGGGACCAGCAGTTAGCGTAATGGCTATGTCGCTGGACTCCCACGTAGTCGACCACGGTTTGAGTCCCGGACCTGGTGGCTTAAACTCACGCCAGGCGCATGTGCGTGCGTGCCCAAGATCCCGAGAGGAGAATGGAGGAGAAGGGATTGCGGCGTGACCATCCCCCCGGGGGGTGATTTCTCGCTTTCTGTCTCTCTGTCTCTCTCTGTCTGTCTGGCGAGCGCACGTGCCCTATAGCAAAAACCTCTCCAAAAAAAAGAAAGAAAAAAACAAACACTGCATGCATGTGCATGCGTGTGTCCAAAATCCTGAGAAGAAAATGGAGGAAAAGGGATTGCAGCACAACCCCTCCCTCCTAGGACGGTGCTTTCTCACTTTCTTTCTCTCTGATAAGCATATGTGCCCTACAGAAAACTTTCAGGAAAAAAAAAGTTGGGGCCAGCAGGTGGTATGGATGGTTAAGACGCTGAACGCTCACATGGCTAACTGCAGTTCAAGTCCCAGACCAGGCAGCTTGAAAATCACGCTTGGGAGGCCAGCAGGTGGCGTGGTGGTTAAGAGTGCTGGACTCTCACATGGTTGACCACGGTTTGAGTCCTGGAGCTGGTGGCTTGCTTTCTCACTTTCCCTCTCACTCTCTATCCTTCCAAGGTCAAATTTAAATAAATAAATAAATAATTTTAAAAAATAAAGTTCAATAAAATAATTCTTTAAAAAAAGAAAGAAAATCACACTGAGCATGTTTGTGCATGATCAAAATCCTGAGAGGAGAATGGGGAAAGGACTTCGAGGTTGCCATCCTGGGGGTGAGGGAGGTGAGTTCTCACTTTCCCTCTCTCTGGCAAGCGTATTCACCCTATGGCAAAAAATCTAAAAAGAAAAAAAATAGTTCAGCCTCACATTTCTCAACTTCCTGATCAACATTACATGGATAGCCCTGTGCTCTGACAAGACTTTTGCTTTACTACCTCTTTCCTGGCCTTCCTGAGGAAATGCCAGGTCCTCATAGGGACCAAACACATTCTCCAAGCATGTGCGAGGAGGAAAGAATCATTGCCCAAGATCCAGAATCTGCAGCCTCTACAGAAGTAAACTCTCCCGTGAGGCTCGAGGTTTATGTTTCTGTGTGAAGAACCAACCCTGGCTTGAGAGGGGAAGGTGAGATTTTGGAATGGGAATAAATGAAAAACAGGCTCCTGACGACAAGGCGATGAGGAATGTAAGCTTTCCCCAGTTGAATTCTCTTATGTCTAATTCGCTAATTTACCCCAAGTGTCCACAGCAATGCCTGACACATACTAAACTCTCGATATTTGTTGAATAACTAAGAGAATAAAGTTTGGGGAAAAAGCAAAAAATGTATTGATGAAGTAAGCATCTAGAAGTGGTTTTTTTTTTTTCATCGTACTTCCACATGTAAGTAGATTTTTCTGGTGTGACCATTTTAGCAATGTTACTACCAACCATATCTCTCCTCTGATAAACACTCCTTAGAGATGTCCACTCCATATACACTATGCTCTATAAACAAGAAATGAAGAATTCTTCTCTCAAATTAAGGAACTCTGTTGTCTAGCTGAGAGAAGTCCTCTAGAGTCTACTTGAAAAGCTAACAGAAGCAGCTCTACTTCCTTCCAGACAGGGCTTCCTATAAATCAGGCTAAGTTCTATAGCAACACAGGTCCTCAGTTCACCAAAAGGGAGACAACAATGGGAACGCGTTTTCTTAATGGAAAAAAATAATTCCAAAGGGAAAAAATTTACAAGTGTTTCTTCCTGTAACTTTTTCCCTGGAAATCTTTGGCTTTGTTTCTTTACCCACATTTTCATTAAATTTAGAAAACTGCCCAAGTTGAGCATTAATCTGGCACAGGTAACTGATTCTTGCAGCCAAAGTCTGGCATTCTCTAGAAGGAATGAGAACCCAGACAAAAGAAAAGCCCTAATGGCCACCAGCCAACTAGGAGAGTCACACAATGTCCTCTGTGGCCAACAGGGTAAGTGCCTAAAACAGACAAGCTGGCAAAAAGAGAAACAGATCCCTGGGTTCTGCTCCTGGCTCCTTTCACTCACTTCCTAGAAGACATTATCAAAGAAACCTCAAAAATAGAAACATCGGATCTTCTTGGGAAGGATAAAAGACAGGCTAAAAAAGGCAAGGAGAGAAACCAGACTTGACTTATTAGACCTCTGAAAATGGAAAGACACAACAGAAAAGGCTGGTCATTTCAAACTTCCAAACGAAAAACCATGCTAAACAAAACTGAGAGTTTAGGCAAGAACTTAAATCCTGCTTTAATTCTCTTCTGAGCTTGAGCTGGAGCCAAAAGCTTCTTTACTTCTCCTACCACCTTCTGACTGCAGCTGCTTCCACTTCAGCTCCTTTACCTCTTAGGAGTGGGGAGGGCCAGGAGATCCCCTTGTGCCATAAAACCAGCCAGTTTAAAGGCCCCAGAAGCCATTACTGATAATGTAATTTCATTTTAAGTTTTTGCAAAGGGCAAGTTTATAAATAACTCCCAGCTATGGAGAAACCGGCTTCCCAGACAATGAACTAGGCTTGACTTTTACACACTGAATAAAGACTGTTGAGAAAGACCTTACAAGCTTAGGGCCATATCCAAAGGATTTAAAAGGTCTATTCTGAGGCCGGCAGGTGGCGTGGCGGTTAAGGGTGCTGGACTCCCACATAGCCAACTGCAGTTCAAGTCTTGGACCTGATGGCTTGCTTTCTCACTTTGTCTTTCTCTCTGTCCTTCTCTGGTCAAATTAAAAATAATTAAGTTGAATAAAATAATTCTTTCAAAAAAAGTCTATTCTTCCCTTCCACTCCCCAAATCGGTAGCTGCTAGAAAGCTTTCGAGACAAAGTTCTGTGATGCACTGACTTTCAGAGAGCCACAGCCTGAGTGTATAACAGAACTTCACCTCAAATGCTAATGGTGCCTGGAAATGATGTCTAGGCAGATTGGTTTGTGGGAGGCTGGGTGGTTTGAATAGATTCAATATATGTTTTCATTATCAAGAAAACTAGAATGCTCTCCTAACGACAGCTGAAACACCACCTAATAAGAGAGGCTGCTGTAAATGAGGCTTTGATCTCAATCAGGGGGCTTTTGAAGTCTGGTGAAAAACATGGACACCGCCCACAGTCCCCTCCCTCAGCAAACAGAACTAGAACAGTCATTCCTAGTGCTGCCCCCTGTGGGCCTTCTGGATAACCTGCAGCTTCCCCAGGATTATACTCGGCACAAATATATAAAGGGCAGCTCTGGATAAAAACTATTTGGGATTAGTCTGTAGCTAGGTGGTCAAGGTGGCTGGATCCTACATGGCGAAACCCCAGATCTGACAGCATGAAAAACACACCAGGTATGTGTGCATGCATGCTGAAAATACCAAAGGGAGGGAGAAATGGAGAATGGATTGTGGTGTAACCATACCCCATAGTGGAAGAGGGATGCTTTCTCCCTTTCCCCCTCTCCTCAACCCCACCCCAGTGCATGTGCCCTCTGGTGAATTAAAAGAAACTCTTGGGCCAGTAAGTAGTATGGTAGTTAAGGCAGCTGGATCCCACATGGCTAACTGTGTGGTTCAAGTCCTAGATCCAAGAGCTTGAGAAACATGCCAGGAGTGTATGTGTGCATGGCTCAAAATCCTGAGAGGAAAACAAAGAGAATGCAGCCATCCCCTTGGGGGATGCTTGCTCACTTTCCCTCTGTCTCCAG